TTTTAACCTGCAACCTCATCTGAGAGGTCTAATTCTTGCTCCAGTTGATTAAAACGCCATAGGGTAGCCAGCAGTTTTGATTATTCTTGGAGAAATTGCACCCCGAGCCTTCCATTTCCTGCTTCAGTCAGAGCTGGGTGTCCTTGGGGCCTGATGCACAGCGATTTTCACAAGATTACCCCTTGTCCAGCTCCTGGGTTCCTTGTGCCTCTTGCTTGGATCCCCTGGATTCTACTTGACCAAGACGTTCCTTGTTGTACCAGAGCCCCTGCTCCTAGAACTTTCTCAGAGGGGTGCATGGAACGCAAGTTTTCTGAGCATTTGCCTATGTGAAAATGTACCTGTGTTTTTTTCCTCCTTTCAGTTTAACTGGAAAAGAAATTCTATAGAAGAAAATATTTTCCTCAACATTTGAAGGCTTGGCCTTCTGCTTTCCAAGGATGCCGTTGAGAAATCTAACACTATGTTCATTCTCGATCATTTATAATCTATACATAACCTATAGATAGTATTTTTAATCATTTTATTGGGGCTCGGACAACGCTTCTCACAATCCATCCATTCATCCATTATGTCCAGCACATTTGCTCATTTGTTGCCATCAATAGATAGTATTATATACATGTTCTCTTGTCTTGATCCTCAGAGTTCTGAAGGTTTGGGTTTTGGGGGGTTTTTTGAGTCACATTACATTTTGAGAAGAGCTTCTGATCATTTTTTTAACCCGGTGGGTGTTTTTCACTGAAAACTCACATCTTCAGTTTGCGAGTTTTTTCTCTCATGGTTTTTTGACTCATTTCCTCCTGTCTATTTCTTTGGGGAAGTGTGATTTGTTATTTTGTTGTCGCTGCTGTTGAGCAAAGCACACGACCCGCCGATGCACGATTTCTACAAGTGCGATTCCGCGACATTGCTCCAACAGACCATTTTCACCTCCTTTCCGGAGCCTGCCTCCCCAGCACTGCACTCCCTGCCGCTGCAAGTGCCCATGTCCCTTCCAGTCTCTGTTATCGATTCAACCCCGTGCGATAGCTCTTAACAGCGTGCAATGCTGGGCTTTGCACGCCAACCTATGATTTGGTTGTTCGAAGACTTCAGACGTGTCCAGGATCCCTCGGAGCAATCACTTTGGGGGTTCAGCCTATTTCTTATTTTCCTCTCTCGGCCTCCTATTGGTCAGATATGAAACTTACCAGTCTGACTCTTCAAATTTTGTTTTTCATCATCTCTCACCGATTTCTGTCTTCTGAGAGATTTCCTCAACTTTCCAGCCAGCCCTTCTACCAGTGTTTTCCTTGTGCGATCACAGTTTTACAGTCAAATGTACTACTTTGTTTTGTGAGTGCTCTTGGATTAGACAGGATTCTCTAGAGAGATAAAACCAGATTGCTGATAATTTTATATATATACAGTGAACCCTCGCCACTTCGCGCTTCGACTTCCTCGGCTTCACTCTATCGCGGTTTTTGCGTAACAGCGCATGCTCTGTCATTACTGCCACTGATTGGCTCATACTGTACATGCTT